AACAAATACATATTAATTATTACTCAAATTATTATTTCGGTCGTTCTTAATGTATCAAGCGTCTATATGCAAAGAAAAGCCAAAAACTACGGTTTTTATCATTAAATGAAGATATACCCTAAAGATGCTTTGAGGGCTTTACGGCATAACCAGGTTTCATTCGCCCGGGCAGTTGCCCCCTTTGTCCCCCCCCCCCTGTCTGCGGGCCTGCCAATAAAGATATTATTAGTAAATAGAAATACTAATTCAAAGTTGAAGTTAAATCTTAAAAATTAAGAATTTCATAAACTCGTTATTTATGTTTTTATCTGAAATCCTTTTTACATCTTCGTTTTAACAAAGTATAGTTCACAATCAAATAATTAACATTTCATGTTGGATTTTTGTTTTGAAACACTATTCATATTTACCTTGTTCTTGAATGGGCTTTTAATAAGTTCTGTATATACTAGTTTTCTTCTGCTAGATATATAAATAACCTTTGTTCGGTTTTATTATTGGTATCGCAAAGTTTAACCAAAATAAAAATACAGCTTGAAGCCAATAGTTTTAATTTTTATTTTTACTTGTGACTGGTGTTAACAAAGCGATAATGAAGTCAAAACCAAAATATTTAACTAATTACGAGAATAACAATAATGATTCCATTTTTCTTTTTTGGCCTGTTTGGGTGTGCCTCGTATGTTTGTATGGTGCTGCCATCTGTACTTATTTTAAAGAACTATACATTTTAACAAAATATATATGTATATAAAAATATATATTTGTAGATTCTTATTTGTGCTATTTGTTATTGAAAGTTGTTTTTTTAGGTGAGTAACTATAAACAAGATTGTTCTTGCAGGTATACCAAACAATTCTAGAGTCTGAACAGGGTAAGCAGTTGAAGACTGTAACACCACATGAAGATAAAAGTGTGGCCGTCATTGAATTTAATGCTGCCACCTGTGCTGTTGTGGAAAATGTTGGGCGTATTGCAATTAGTATTCGCCGTCGTGGTAAAATTTCCAATCAAGTATCATGCAGGTGAGCTTATTTTAAGTGCAATCAGTTCGGAAAATGTACATCTAAATACTAAATGCTTACTAGTTTTCAAAAATAGCATTGATGCGTTGATGAGTCTGTTCATAAGTTGTTTTAAATTTCTCTAAAAGTCTTATCAGAAGAGTATATCCTAAACACTTTATTAAAGTTAAAAGTCATATTGCATGCTCTTTTTGCTGTGTCATTTACATTATAATAATATATATATTGATCTGAACAAACATATCACACACTGAAAATATATCCATCCATTGACAACTTCAGTTCAAAAGTTCAAGTATCCTAGGTGATATCATTAGGTTGATGTTTTCCATACATTTTCTTTCACCATGCTATAGGACAATATCCCTTGTAAGTTTTATGCTGCTACTAAATAAAACTTAAAGAATTATGTCCTTAGTTTATGATTGTGCAAGCATTGTTAACTATATGTACGTATATTCGTGTTAAACTAGCAAAATATTCTTACCTTTATGATGCTTTGTTTATTATTTAGTATACTTTTTGTCTGAGAAGCAAAAAAAAAAAGAGCTCCACAAACTTGTTTTAAAAAATATTAAATTCTAATGCAAACTTAAGTTCTGTATGTTTTAGCCACACACAAAACTTGATTACATTGTAGTAATTCTAATTAAAGTGCAAAGACTTTACAGAATTGTAGTGAAGTTTGTTTATCCCTGCATTTTTTTTTGAAGAGTTGAAACAATAGATGGCACTGCTACTGCTGGAGAAGATTATGTTCCACTGAAACAAATCATAACTTTTCAACCAAATGAAGAAGAAAAGAAAGTTTTTGTGGAAATCATCAATGACAATCAATGGGAACCTGATGAGACATTCTTTCTAAAGTTGGTGGTCAGTGAAGAAGATCGAAAAGAAGCTGCTTTGGGAAGAACCTGCATTATGGAGATTACCATTCTGAATGATGATGGTAACATGTCTGTTTTTTTTCTTGCAGTATTTCTATTATTTGGACATGTTAAAATCACATTTTTATTTTGAATATAATACAGCCTTATAGTAATTTTTTGTGAGTTCATTATATGTCCTAAGAGGACAGAAATAACTGAAATTGGATGTAACTAGTGTTTTTCTAAATCCTTTTTTTTTTGAGATAGGAATTGGATAAATTATTACTGATTTTCAAATTAAGAGAAAAATAATAAAGACCACAGAAGAAGAAGTAGGAATAAGACCTAAGGATTCTGTATTTTTACAATTAAAAGTTTTTTAGAAAAAGAGTTAATCTAAAGAAGACAACTTTATACCAGTTCATTAGAAAACTGACCTCTATGAAAGACATTACTAAAGTGAGCCATTTCAGTGGTTTTCATTAACACATTGTAGCTACTGATGAAATGAGAAACAAAACATTCCTACACGACAAACAGAAATAAAGATGTGTTGTTGACAGTCTAAAAATTGAGGAAAAACAAGACAGTTGTATGTTTCACAAGTACATCATGTATTACGACCGTGGTTTCGCCAGAAAAGGCATCACCAGGTACAGTTTATCTGAAGTTAAGCATGAAGCTACACAATGGACTATCTGTGTGCATTAGGTACAGACTGAAATGTTTCGTAACAGAATTTATATATATGTTTAAGCAAAGAACCAGAAGTGACCTTGACATTCACCTGGAGTCAAGTGGCGAGGAGCTTAAGTTGGTTTAGAACATATATTCTTTGTTACAGAGTCAGATTCAACATTAAGTGCTACTTCTAATATCTATTACAAGATAAGCTCCTCTACACTTCTTACCTCACTCTAGGTGAATGTCAAGGTCATTTCTGGTTCTTTGTTTAAACACGTGTGTGTGTATGTGTGTATATATATAAATGCCTGTACAAGACATTTCAGTCTGGACTTGATGATGCCTTTACTGGCAAAACCATGATTGTGAATAAGTAATGTACTTGTGAAATGTAGAATAGTCTTGTTTTTCCTCAGTTCTGTATCTCATGTAAATTTGTTAGATCTACATACCAAAGTATAAAATTATCTCAATAAAATAAATTAATGAAAGGACTAGCTGGACTAAACTTTATAGATGCAAAAGAAACAAATTTCATTTATCAACTGTAGTGTTTTAAAAATGATTAATGTCGAGAGAGCTTATCTCTAGACAAAGTTCTTAATATGTAACAAGTTTTACAAAATTGTTCAAACTGTTAGTAATTTGACAAGCTGTAGGGTTAACAATCTTAATATAACTTTGGTAAAAGAACACTTCTTGTATAGATTATAGTAAACTTTGGGTCATTTCATAGAATTTCATCTTCACAGATTATAAATAATGATATCTTAGTTACTGACTTGCACATTTTTATTTAATTTCTAAACAAAATTGGACACATTAAACAGAGGTGGTCCTCGGATAATTATATTTCAGAAACAAATTTTATAAACAAAACTTTCTTTTTTTTACTCATTCTATTCTTTTATTTGATTTGATACTGCTCAAAATAAGTGGAGATTTTAAAGGTCGTGGAATTGTTAGTTACTTTGAGAAAATCATATATTCAGTTTTTTATGAACATTACATGATTATAGAGTTTGGCTTGTCATTTTATGTTGTCAGTTTTATAGTTAGAATATTTGTTACTATGTTTTCAGCTTTTGTTTTTATAATCTTCAGAATTTTAACACAACTTACAATTTAATGTTCCACTACTTTAGAATTTAATTACCAATTTTAAGTATTTTTTTTGAATAATTTATTTTTAAATTTCAAGATTCAAAATATAGAAGTATTTGGGAAGAGAACAAATTTTATCTTCCTTTCTTCCCCTCAGAACCCGGAATCTTGCTGTTCAAACGCCGAGGAATTCTAGTTAAGGAAAATGCTGGAAATGCACTTATCCCTGTCATTAGAAAGCAAGGTGCTGATGGGATTGTGACAGTTCGATGGCGAACAATTGATGAAACAGCATTGAATGGGCGAGACTATATAGGTGGAGAAGGAGAACTTCGTTTTGAACATGGGGAAGTTGAAAAATTTATTGAGGTTCCTATTATTGATGATTTTAATGCAGAAAAGGATGAGCATTTCGAGGTAGAGATATTTGAAGCAAAAGGGGGTGCTGTAATTGGACAAGTGAACCGAGTGACTGTTACAATCACCAACGATGATGGTAAGAATTACATTCAAAGAAATTAAAAATAGAAAGACAATGGGGAAGGATGTGTACAGTTTGTTACTGTATCAAAAGTATTAGAGTGTTATCCAAATTTAAATTTACTAAATTATTTCTTAAGGGATATGTTGAATGAGGTGTAATCTGCCGTAGTGTGCTGTTGATTTTAAGCATTACTATATCTTTTCTAATTTATTACCTGAAACATTTCCTGTTAGTATGAGGAAAGCTTTACCGTTTCCAAAATTTTGCATGATATGTACCGCTTCTGGTAATTAAAATAGAAAAAAAAACTGTTACGTAACTTCTCTTGGGTAACTACATTTTAAAATATTCAAAGTATCTAGAAACATCAATGAAAAATAAAGTAAACACGGATGTGTTACTCTTTATTCAAATGGTTGCTTAGAACTACTTTAAATAATATATAATATTTTCAATTCTGTAAAATGACAACATATTTAAGAGTAAAGTTCTTGAAACACATCTATTGTTATTGGCAATGTTTTTTAGAATATTTTTTTTTAATCTCAATATCAAGAAATTGTTAATGGGACTGCCTGTTAAGTTATAACAAAAGTATGTATTACTGGTTCAAAGCTGTTGTTGCATGAACCTGTACATTGGAAAACAATGACATTACACAATGTGTACAGTTGCTGATTCAGATAACCTATATAACCGCACTAGTTGTATATTTGAACAGCTGACTTAACGCTGTTATTTTATATTACCATACTGTAAAATATATGTTTCTACCCTGGATGTAGCCAAAATACAAAACATGTTAAAACCTATCCTAAAAAAGTTGCATTTTGTATAAAGCCCTTGGTATCATTGATATAAATAAACATTGCTTTCTTAAATTGTCTTTTTATTCACCTGTTCAAAATGATTTGTTTAAGCTACAATATAAATGTTAATAACTACTTTACAAATATCTGATTCGTGGATATTTATTGCCTTGTACAATAAAAGTATCAGTAGTGGTCGAACGTAAATTATGTATCTTACTTTTTGTAGTTATAGAAGTAATATTTGAAATAAGAGTGATTTAAACAAAATTCTGATTATTGTTCTCGTGTATGTACGTAGATTTTAATACCATAATGGATCGGTTGATGATGCTTACAAACGTTAATGTCGATTCTCTGAAACTTCATTCTGAGAGTTGGGTAGGACAGTTGAAAGATGCCATGAACGTTAACGGTGGAGACTTGGAGAATGCAACTCGTGTGGATTACGTGATGCATTTTCTAACATTCGGTTGGAAGGTATGTGCGTGTCCAAGTTGTTCATTAATAACAATAAGTTTGAAAAAGAAAAACTTAAACATTACAGAATCTGTTGAAGCATATTAGTTTCAATTTAAAAGTTGTTTTTTTTTTTGTAATTAAAATTCATAAAACTAGGATTATAAAAATACAACTGAAATATATGACACGTATTAGTGGGCTAATTGTATGGTGGAATAACAGAAAAACTGGTAATGTAGGTAATGCACTGCGTGTATTTCATTCACTTTTCACGTTCTCAGTTTTGCTTGTTTTAGATATATATTAGAAGCACGTGCAACATACATTGGTAGCAAATTTTATTCTTTTCGTATGCAAAACAATCAAACTGATCATAGGATATTTGTAGTTTTCCTATCTATAAAATTTAAGAGTTTGTTCTACAGTCAAAACGTTTACTTAGCTTGTCATTCGCTTGGTCAAACCAATTGTTTATGGAGAAGCTAGAGTACCATTAACATTATCTAGCTTTGTAGTAGTCTATTCATTCTTACATGTTACAACATATTTAATTTATCAAACAGCACACTTAGGAAGTGTTAACAGTTTAGATTTCACAAAAGTATTAGATATTACAATTTGATATACAATGAAGTATAAAGGAAGATACCTGTTATCTAAAAATATGTCTTAACAAAGGAACTGACTTTCACATGAGAAAAATAAGTTAATCTATTTAATTCTTGTGTTTTGTTTATTGTTTTTTATATATGGGTCACCTTCTTGCTTGCTAAGTCGATTGAATGTGTTTGTTTACGTAAGAAATGTATTTGGCTTGGTAAAATATGTTGTTTATTTGCTTGTTGTTCTCTTTGTGCTATAGAAAATGTGTCTGTAAATGTAAATTATGTGAAAACTTGTGTGGACTGTTAGAGAGTAACAGTTTCAGAGATGATTTGGTTTTTAATGTGTATCAAAATATAGAAGTTAAAACTACCAAGAGTATTGGTTAGAAATAGAACTCTGTACTTTTAGTAAATTGCCTGTTATTTAATTTTGTCACAATAGGAGAGAGTGAATAATAATAGATTCAGCTTATTGGAGAGTACTAGAGCTTTTAATTTAAAAACTCTTTTTTTTTTCAGATTATTTTTGTCATTTGTACCTCCTACCTCTCTGGTTGGAGGTTGGGCAACATTTTTCTTCTCATTAGGAATGATTGGAATTTTGACAGCTATAGTTGGTGATCTGGCCAGCATCTTTGGCTGCTTGGTAGGACTAAAGAACACTGTAACAGCCATCACTTTTGTCGCTCTTGGTACATCGCTACCTGATCTTTTTGCTTCCAAAGCTGCAGCACAACAGGAAAAATATGCCGATAATGCAATTGGCAATGTCACCGGCAGCAACTCGGTCAATGTTTTCTTAGGGTTGGGTTTACCGTGGGTTATTGCTGCTATCTACTGGGCTGCAAAGGTATAGTAGCTATTCAGGTTATGATGAGATTACTGCTAAAAAAAATATATGAAGAAAGTTAAGGAAAATGACATTACTTGGGAGCCATGAAAGATTTTTGGAATTATAATATTTATAAAAAAAAATCTTGTAATTGCTAAATTATTTTATTATTGTATTAGTGTACAACTTTATTATATATAATTTGTTTTTTTTATAAAACTGATAATTATCCTTTAACATTCAAACAATTCTGTTGGGTTGTAAAGGTTAATAGAAATACATTTGATATCTGAGGTAGTTCAAATGTTTGGGCTTCTGAAAAATTTCTGTTATGAATCGTTTTCAATTGACTTCTTTCATAATTTCCTAAAAAGGTCATTATTTTCTAACCCATATAAACAATTATATGACATTTAATGTTTACATTTATCTGTAGACACAAAAGTTTGCTCTTCCGTCGCTTCGATTCACAAATAGTAATTGTATGTCCAAATTAACAATACCTTTTCCATCTTCTTCGTAAGTTATACTTAATGCAAATATAACAATTTAAAAACCCTCCTTTTCTAGACAGTGTTCTTATAATAAGAATAATTCAGATACTTCTAAACCAAATTTGTCCAAGTATGTTATTGGTTAAATGTCATGAATGTGGGAGAGGGTGGGGGGTAACAGTTATCAGTATCCTTTCCAAAAACGTTATAAAAGTTTATACGAAATAAATAGTTAAACAGCATGTGGAAAAACATCTATACATTTCATTTTATAAGTATTTTCTCCATTTAAAAAATTAAAATATTAGTTTCTCTTGTATAATTCTAGGATCTAGATTATATACAAGAGTCAATAACAGATATTTTGGTCACTGTTGTAACAATGTATTATCTATTTTTTCTTGAGTGACCAACCTGCTTGAGCAAATATAATTGAGATTATATAGAAGTATGGTTGTGATAGATGTAGTGATCCGATGAAATCCTTAAGTAAGTCACTTTTAACAATTCCAAGTTCTTATGTGATGCTTTGCCTACTCTTGGATGTTACTTTGTTAGTAATTATTTGTTGCTTATTAATTTCAGGGAAAAGTGTTTGATGTGCCATCTGGATCTCTCAGTTTTAGTGTAGGAATCTACAGTGCCACAGCAATGGCATGTATCGTCCTTCTGATGGTTCGTCGATATTCGAGTTTTTTTGGCAGGGCAGAACTTGGGGGTCCAATAAATGCTTCAAGGGCATCATTTGCCTTTCTTCTATTTTTGTGGTTTTTGTATATTTTGCTGTCATCACTGCATGCCTATGGCTATTTTAACTAGAAATGAACTTTTAAGTGTGATTTATATTGCAACATCTCAATGTTCATGTTGAGTTAATCTTTTTATGACACTTATAAAAACAAAAAAAACATTTTGGTGTGTGTTTGATCGCTTACTTTCACATGTGTGTTAAGAGCTGTTCTTAATGGCGAAAAATTGTTTTAGCAATTGTTTTTGTTTTTGATGTGGTAGTTTCTGAAATGACAGGATACTAAAAGGAAGGGAGTACAAAATGTATCTATGTTTGAGGTGAAAAAAACAAAAAATTCTGATGTCATTATTAGTAGGAAAAAGTACGGAGTTCTGTTATATCACGAAAAAAATGTGAAGTTTTAAAATCGTGAGTCAATCTTACTAATAAGGTATCTTGGAGTATAGAACAAAGTTTAAACTGATTTGTTTTAAATGAAGTTTCAATAATGAAACTGAACTGGTTTTTAATACTGTACTTATACCTTATGAAGGTCACTGTTTACAGCTGCATGTTTTATGTGAGACGTCACAATAAATTGGTTTTTTTGGTGTGAAAGAAACTTCAAAAGCATCTTTGAAAGGACTTAAAATAAGATTTTTCTAATTGGTTAAACAAGTTATAAGTATTTCTTGTGGTGATATCAATGTATAGTGTGTTTATATGCATGACTTATCTGTTATATGCAAGAACTATATATTTGTGTATTTGTTACATTTTTTTATGTACAGAGTTTCATTTAGTTAAAAATTAATTTCTTTTACAACAACATGATATTAAAATAAAAATAAAATTTCAAGTACTTTAAGAGATGAGAACGTATTTGTTACCTAATTATTTTGTTAAAAGAACAAACATAAAATGTTAATTCTCAGCTAACAATACCCAGAACACATGACAATGTTGATGTGTAAGAGAATTTTCAAAGCAGAGTGTTAAGTTTCTCATTATAACCATGTTTTCGTTTAGTTCAAAGAAGTGTCATCTATGGATTGATTAATAACATATAACTGTGTTCTAACCATATTTAAAAGATAACTTTGAATAACTTGAACAAGGTAGTGTAAAATGGGCTGAAGTTGTATTTTTCGTTTATCACAGAAGAACTGTCTAGGTTTAATTTGTTACATAGGTTGGAAAATTAATGTTTTCTGCTTTTTATTTTAGATTTAACCTTTTTAAAGGTTAATAATTTCATGTATTTGATATCTGTGAGTGAGTAGAGTCTATAGACTTAAACTATATGTTTTTACTTAGAATTATCCTTTCATAGTAATATCGATTTAGTCAGTCAAAAATGGTATAGCTCTAATATTATAAGATAAATGAAATATTTCAGGACATTCTACAAAATGTAATCTCAAAAATTGTTTCATAATGAAATAATCTTTTTGGAGTTTCTTTTATATAAAACATCATTCCTTTGCTGTGTACTAAAAATAATAAAAATTCAAACTGCTTTTTAGTCATTTTTATTTGTTTCTAAAAAAATACTGTTACGCCCGGATCGTTAGTTAATTTTCCGGATAATTTCTTTCAGAAGAAACTTTAGCGATACAAGTCCTTTCTTGAATAAAACTGGTTTATTCTTTCTAAATACAACTTTGCAATACACTTAATTTCTACAGTCACGCTATAACAAACGCTATAATTCACAACGAACGTCTCACGTGCTCTACTCAACAATATGTCTCTCTCTGTCCGCAGTTCAATTACCCATTGTTGCCGTCAGTTCTTGGCGGCTTATATACAAGACTACCGCATGTTACGACAGCGGAGGTCACGTGACGCTAGTAACACGTCATGCGCTTCTAGAACGTTCATGAAACCTCGAGAGGCTACTAGATAGTGTTAGACATGTTCTTTCTTACGTAGGAAATAACTACGGGATATCTACATTACAGTGTGAGAAACTTCCTTTCTTACATCCCAGAGCCACTTTGCTAATGCTACAATTGTGTGCAAGAAGGTCGCCTCGTCATGGTTTCTTTCACGTGATTTTCTACAAATAACGTGGCATTGTAATTCCATTTATAACTGTTTTCTAACTAATTACCGAACATTAACTTAAACCGTTTTCGTTAATTTCTAATACTTATTTTACTTCTACAAATCTTAGTGTAAAAGTATGAGCGATTAAAGAAATTAATTCTATTAGTTTTTATGACATAATTTTAGAAAGACCTTAAGATTTATGTTTATAAGCAAATCTCTCGTTAAGCAAACTAACTGCGGGTTTAGTAGACTTTGGTTAGGACTTCTTCCTATCGTCCGTCTGGTTTCAACGGATCAGTGCTGGCGCCTAAGTAGGCGTAAAAACAAAATCGAATGCTATTTAATTTCTAGGACAGAACCATTAATTTAAAAAAACTTTTTTTAAAGAATAGGCTAGAAATGAAGTACTGCGTGGATAATGTCTGTTTGTAGTTCTATTTATTGATCGTGCCTTCACAATGTAATAATACCTAACTTCGTTCAAGGTCTACTTTAATTTTTTCATGAATATAACATTGTCTATCTTACAGTTGGATTAACCTTCACATCCTAAAAACTGTATAAGGACTTTTTTGAAAGCATTTTTTACACGATCACCATTTCTGTAAATAATAAAAAAACAAAAACAAACGGCTTAGAAAATACTTTAAGAAAATGTTACTCTTGAATGAAAACTGGATTGCCAGCATCATATTTTACCGAAATTGAACAGCCCAAAATAGCTAGTTAACAAATTATATGTGTAAGAATTATACGTTCGAAACTTAAAAAAACCGTAAAGGTAGCATTCAAAACAATGGCTGGTTGACTATTCTTAAAACTATTCCGGTTATTGCTGCTGAGAAAGACGTTTATAAACAGAAACGCCACCGACTTTGTATTATCAGAGAGAGAAAACTAACTTAGTATTATCAGACGGAGAACACTAACTTAGTATTATAAGACAGAAAACACGAACTTAATATTTTAGACATGTTCTTTCTTATGTAGGAATTAACTACAGGATCTCTACATTACTATAGGAAATAACTATGGTATCTCTACATTACAGTGAAAGAGAGAACAGGTCTAACACAGTAATGTAGAGATCCTGTAGTTATTTCCTACATAAGAAAGAACATGTCTAACACTGTAATGTAGAGATACCATATTTATTTCCTATATAAGCGAGAACAGGTCTAACACAGTAATGTAGAGATCCTGTAGTTAATTCCTACATAAGAAAGAACATTTTTTTTTGCACCGTAACATAGAGATCCAAGTCCTTAGCTATTTGCTACATACAAAAAGCTAGGTACCGTTTCTGTTATCGGTATTTTTGACCACAATGACATAAAGCCAAGTTTATAATTAGAATGAATTAATTCATAAGCTTGGTACTCTCGCTGTTATCTCTATTTCGTCTGTCTACACCAAATATCACAAACTAGCAAACATTTTCAGAATTTATCTAGCTTTTATCTTTGGTTTTATTTGTAATCCTATTTTTAAGTAGTAGATGTATGTTTATTTATGTATTATTAGCATGAATGGGTGGGAGGTAGGGTGTTGCTGACCGTCTGTCTTCCCTCTGGTCAGTAGTTCAAAACTAGTATCAGCAATAGAGAAAACATTATTAACTTTTCCGTAAATACAACGCAATCGTAGTTGTTAATCCCAAGAATTAAGCCTCCTCCTTTCCTGATTTCTTGCAGTTGTTCATTCGTGTGATATAACAACATCCCGTGATTCCACATACACGTTTACTACAGTGTCCTCCTGTGACGCTTTTTTACCTATGTATATGTGAAATCCCAAACTAAACCTTGTATTCTTGAAGCCAGTTTATGAACCCAGTCTGTTAAATGTCTTTTTCTACCGCGTATGAAAGTGATTTTTAGTTTACAAAAAAGAAACTGCATTTTATAACGAAAACGTCACGATGATGAGTCTGGCTTATGTGTGAAAAATCAAAATCCTGAGTTCTGCTTAAGTGTGACAAAAACCACAATTTTGAGTTCTGTTTATGTGTGAAAAAAACACAATTATGAGTTCTAGTTACGTGTCAAAAACCATAATCCTGAGTTCTGCATATGTAAGAAAAATTA